GCAAGGGGTGGGTCGTGCAATTTTCAGCTACCCTTAGGGGGTGGGTCACCCTATTTTATTACATAGATAGGCACTAACTACTAACGAGACAGTTGACTACACTTGTTATATAAAACACAGCCAGCTGGAATTATTGCTAGAATACTCACAAACCTGTTGTGTGAGAAAATACAAAGGGTGACGGGCCGCACATCTATACGGGCGTGGAACCCTCTGTTAACTTCTTTTTTTTTTGGCTCTAACGAGCGTGTCCTTTGATGATTTTCCTTTTTTGTAAGGAAATGATTGGTGGTTCTTTAAAAATTTATTGAAGTTATAGTTGGTTTCTCCTTTGACAAATCCTTTTTTAACATTTGGAGGGTGACACGAGGTGAAATGTGTGTGCTAGAAGGTTTCCGTTTGTTTAAATGTGTCTTTGCATCAAGGATAGATTTTTTCCTTGAATCTTGTGCCTTTGTATACGACCGTGTCTAAAAATGCAGTCTGAGTGTCAAATTTTTGGGCCGTGAATTCAATAGTTGGGTGATGTAAGTTTGCTTGTTCAATGAAGGCTTTGATTTCTGGTTCTCTCATGTCCCCGGCATAGGGAAAAGTTATCGTGTATGTAGCATTTCCAAACTGTTGTTCTAAAGACAGTTTTGCTTAGAGTAGTTGTTTCAATATGTCATGAAAATATTGGCAAAGGAATCAAAACTGCTGTCTTTGTGCCCATTGCAGTTCCGTGGTTTTGTAGGTAGTGCTTTCCATTGAACTGGAAGAAATTTTCTTTGAGGATTAATCTAAGCATTTCCGGCAAGTCATGTGTAGGAATGGGTTGTCTTTGTAGAAGTTTTCATATGCTTTGTGACAGACAATTTCAATATACCCTCGTTTTGCGTTATATTTGTGACAAGACTCATAACGTCCATCGAAACAAGAAATGTTCAGTTTTTCACGTTTGTCTTTTCAGTAAAAGGTATGATTTCTGTGATTTTGATATTGGTTGTGACAGTGTATCAACAAAGTTTGTCAAGCACAGAACAAGGTTTTATTGGATTATTAAGAGGAAACCAAACATCCATGTTTTAACGAGGGGGTGGGTCATGCAATTTCCAACCTTGCTTTAGGGGTGGGTCAGTCATTTTTGTGCCGAAGGGAGGGGGTGGGTCATGTGTTTTTTATCAACCACATTTCCAAATGCTCCGGCCCACCCCCC